AGCTCTAAGCATTCGATAAATGATTCGAATCGTTTAGGTGCTTTGATTGGGAACCAAGAGATTTCAGGCATGTTGAAGTCCCCACAAATAGCCTTGCTTGTGAACGGTAGGGATGAAACAAATGTGAATACTTCTGACAATAATGCTAGATCTCCTGCTCGTGGCCAAAGAGACTGGTCTATAAGTACAAGATACATGAGGATACTCTGGTGCGAACAGTGATGGTGCATATGAAAGAAGGGATTGGTGGAGAAAATTTGTAGCTCAGGTGGGTGATTGTGGTGGCGTTTCGTACTCTGAGCTGGATGTTTTGGTTGTGAAGCTTTCGTTGTTCTTCTGAACAACATCATCAGCACAAAATTTTATCTGCAATTTTGGCCCAACTATCTCTGTCGTTTCGCTGATCTTTTCCAGCACGATTTCGATATTCCTTCAATACCACGAAATTGCTAGCAAATATATTCTTTAGTATGGATTATTTTATCTTCTCTCTGACGGGCAAGTAATTGGTTTGTAATGGAGATCTCAGTCAATCCTTACTCGCGCCACTATAGGTACATTGGAATACATTCACACAGATCTATTACCGACAAGTCATTTCCCGATTATTTCATGATCACATGATTGTATCCTTACGGAATATCGCAGATGAAATTCCCGATTTCATGGACGATATGATAACTACTGAAAGAGCATACTTAGTGATAATCATATGAACAGCGAAATAGGAATGAGTACATCTAAATATCTGCTCAAGATTTCATACCGCACTAGCAAAAACAGATTAAACCGAGAGTTTAAATCCCATAATAGTAGAAGTAGTAGTAGTAGTATTAATATTCGAAAAGATGAACGATCATAGATCTGAAATGAGAATTTAGAAACCAGTGAAACGAACTTAAAAAGAAAGGTGCTGAGAGATTAAAAGGCTTAGTATTTGAAGGAAGATTAGAAACCAATCCATCTACACCATCGCAAACCGTATTGAGCCATGCATTCGAAAGCCTCTAGACCTCAGTTAAGGTTGTCTAGTGGACCCTAACCAGGTAGTGTCATGGTTCAGTCCAGATGTAAGTGACTTTATAGGCTAGTGTTATTTTTTGGTTTGGCCGCTCCCACCTTTTTTCTAGCTTACCCCTACACCAGACAGCGTCGCTTGTTGAGGTAGCCGGTGACTAGGCAAACATAACGCTTGTCGCAACAACCTCAACTGATGAAGATCCAATACTTGATTTATTGATCTGCCACCCTACCCTTTGCCTTAACACCAGCATGCTTACTCGGTGATCCTAGAATACGTGAACAATGCTTTGAAGACATGTGATAGGATAGCAATAATCCACGAATGTCCCCTTTTCTTAACGACCATGTTTCATGCGAATAAAGTATGGCATAGTAAACTGTTGCACAGTAAGTTCATTTTCTGGTTGGCAAACAGATATTTTGTCTGCTCAACGAGTGAAGCCAGCTGACAAAGACAGTCAAGCTTTTCGAGTTCACGCCGAACTTTCACCAGGCACCAACCCAACAGATTAGTAGGGAGGTAAACCCACTTGAGTTCTTCCCTCCCCAACATTAATTCAGGCTACCTCCGGTCAATTGTTTATCAGTGTCTTGCATTTGGAAGAAAAGAATCGCGTCACAAATAGGCTAGATTGTTACCTAAGGTAGTTAGAGGACTCCATATTCCGTCAGCATCTTCAGCAGACATAACTGCATCTTTTACGTATTTCAAGTTAACAAGTGAATCTCTTGATCAAGTAGGCAGGAATCTATAGAACTGACGAACCTCCTTCAGTACATTTTTCAGTGATGAACACTGTTACATGATCTCACGATCCACAGAGTAAAATGCCTCCCTAAAGTTGAGGAATATTATGGTTGCGGGACGCATGAACGTGCGTCTATGTTCTGGGACCTGAGGAACAGTGTGAATATCTGGTCCGTACATCCACGTCCAAGTCTGAAACTAGCCTAATTTTCTCGAGTCTGCACTTCACGATCTTTGTTTAGGCGTCAAAGTATTATCGAAGACAATATTTTAGACACGATATTAGTCAAGCTGGTTTCTACAAACAATTCAACCATGTCAAAAATTCTCAGCACTCACTCCAATTCGCTGATGGCTTTCCATGACCGTCGAATTCCTAACACCAATTTCCTTAGTAAGTCTGAATAGTTGTCTACTTATCGTGTTCAGATTCAGTGTTTTTTCAGTAGACGCTACTGAAGAACACTGATTTTCGCAAGCGTTTTGGTTTAACTATAGGCAGGTACCACTACTGTTTTAATAGCACTTTGGATATCGTACCAAGTTGTTTCGGGATGATTGTCACTGCTGTGTTGAATAAACTGTTTCTTAGTTGTCCCTCAAATACATTCATGGCTTATTCTACCATTAAGGGGTTTCCTAGCTTTATAGGGATCTCTGTGTTCTGATCCTGTCTCAATGTACTCCGTTTTTAGTTTCTACTTTGGATCCTACCCAGAAACCTTTCATGCCTAAACAAAGACATATGTATCTTATGTCAAATTTCAGGAAGAACATTCAAAAAATGTAGTGACAACAATTAATCAATAGAATACAACAAACAGGAGGCGGAGTTGCTTTATATATAAACAGCCAATTAAAAGCCGAACAGCTATACGAAAACCAACTAACTGATATGAAATAATCTCGTTGATGTTTTTCCACGCAAAAATACTTGACAATAGTCATCCCATAGACTTGAAACAATGTGCAAAAGTCGTCTGTTAATCGATATGTGACCTGTGTCAGGCAGTCAGCGGAGTCATGCCAAGTCCCAGCTGAATGGAAACAAGCTACTCTCTCTCTCTCCATTCTTCAAAGTAGGAGATAAGAAGGACCTAGCCGGTTACAGACCATTCGCATTACTACCAATACTATCAATGGTCATGGAAGGTCATGAACGAACAAATGAGGAAGTTAGAACAACACATTGTTGTTCTAATTTTCACAATGGGAATCTTTAAAAATGAAGAAGTACAGGGATAAGAATAAAATACTCCAAGAAGCTCAATACGGGTCTCGGAAACGCAGGTCGTGTGAATCTAATCTTATCATAGCATGGGACAGTTGGACATCCTGTTTGGACCGTAAAATACCGGGGCACGTAATATTTCTCGACTTTACAAAAGCCTTCGGCAAAGTACCCCACGCACGCCTAATCGCGAAGATTGTGGAAATGGGCTTAACACCATATAGAGGAGGCAGCCAAAACTAAAATAACGCCTCACAACTTGGTGCTGTTTCTCCACAATTATTCTCGACGTAGTTTAAGACATATGCTATCCCAGACGAGTTGACCACAGCCCCCTAAGTGGAAAGAATTAGGAAGAGACTTGATAGCACCTACTCATATGCGGATTACAATCTCCCTCTTTTGGAAGGAAAGTTCATCCTATAGATAAAATTTTTACAACTGACATGTTTCCTTTTTCCAAAACTTTAAACTGAGAAGCGTTTCTTTCCTTTAACTCTAGATAGGAATTCTTGGTGGTGAATACTCTTACTTCTCACGGCCCTTCCATATAATATTCTTTGTTTAAATTCCTGCTCTGCCCTTGACATCAGAAAGCGGTAACCCTGATGGCGACGCCTGCTGATATTCTGTCAACCTTCAAAAAGGATCTAGAAAATCTTAAAGACAATGATAAGTACAAAATCAATGCACTGACCATCTATGCAAGAGATAATAAAGATATTGTCGGGGTTGCTCAAAGTATTGTCGATATTACTATCAAGCATGTTCAAATGGTGAGTTATTTCGTATCTAATCCCTTTTTGTGTCCTGTGCATACATGTACAGATGAAAAAAGACCAATAAATGTTTTTTTCAGTTTCGAATTTTTTGAATCTTATGGGTGCTGGGTTAGGCCGAAGCGATATCAATTGCTTAGGTGCTTAATCTAGCCTTCGTATTTGCGTACATGCTTAGCACTTCGTACGTACATACATCAGTTCAAGTTGCCACACCGAATTAGCACAAAGACTCAATTTTCAATTGAGATCCCATAGTAGTTGAGGTAGTAAAAGTATTAGCAGTAATCGATGTTCCTTGGGTCCAAAGATATTCACGAAGTACGATCTGATAAAATCAACAAATAGATATGACGAAAGATCCAGAGGATTAGGATTTGAGATAGGCTGAGGATGGATGCCCTCGCAACATTTTAAACAGTTTAGAGCCACACCACTCAAGGTCTCTAACCCGACCGTAGCTGTTACCTTGACGTGGTGGTCGGGCTTGCCTATTGTGATGACCCAATCGAGCTATATTGAAGAGAACGTACTTTCACTTAGGTTCTACCATGCCAGGCAGTTTGATTGGAGAACGGTGAAACTAAAAGCAACAATTGAAGGTCTGAGGCTAAAGTCGTGCTGCTGACTGCTGAGGGGTGTGACAGCAGTAAGGTATTTGCCTCGGACAACCATTTCCTGCACTTTACAAATTCCCCACAAAAAGGCCTCACGTAACTGGCCTCAAGCAGCTGTCCCTTGGGCTCTGCGATCACGCTCCTAGGTCGCTCAGACCAATGCGTAGCTGATTTCCCTTTCAGGTCCCTCAGAAGTATGCTTCCTCGAATCGGACAGACTGTTTCCCAGTAGACAATCGCTTGTGTGCTGTCCGACAAAACGAGACAGTTAAGGACTCGAAAAGATAGGGAAACGTTCCTGCCTCCTTGTTGTCTCTGCCTACGCTCCCAGTGACTGCAGATCGGACGAGGTTAAGTTGCTAGTTCCGCTGTAGGACTTATTACTATACATACACTGACGAGGCCTTGGGAAGCTGCAGCAGAGTCTACAGGTACACGGCGTAACCAGAATATGTTCTTTATCTGGACAGGACGAAGTCAAACTAATGGTCCTACTTGGATACTGTATATGCGTTTCGGAGACGCAGCATACTTCGATTTGCACGGGATTCCAGTCTTAGCTAAGGAAGCTTGTTGCCCTACTTGACACAAGGTTAGAACATTAAAAGCTCCAACATGTAGTTTAGAGTATGGTTTCAGGAGACCAGGAATGACATAACTTGAATCGTTTGCATTAGTGGCGCTTGGCGACAAAGGAACGAAAGAAGGGTTGGTCATGGATGTAAGAGAGTTATTAGGTCAGTGGCACGACTTGTACTCAGACCGTTCTTCAATCAACCTGCCTGGTATGTTAGAACCTAAGGAAACATAAGTTCCCTTGAATATAGCTCGGTTGGGTCATCACAATAGGCAAGCCCGACGACCACGTCAAGGTAGCAGCTACGGTCGGGAGCCTTCGTATGCGACATATCCATTGCTAATCGTGTAGAATTTCATGAGATGCACACTGATTAGGTGTCGCTGTAGGTTTAATGAAAAATGCGTTGTTTTTGGAATACGGTTATCAAATTTTTCATTACAGATACCGGCAGGACTGAAGCTACTTGGTTTGTACGTAATCGACTCGATAGTTAAAAATGTAGGCACACCCTACAGAAAGTTGTATACTTTGGATATTGTTGATGCTTTTGTGCATTCCTTTCAATCGGTAAGTTTCTGCGCGGAAATTGTCTTAATACTCTATTTAGATACGCGATGAGAAGGGGCGGCTGAAACTATACAATCTAAGAACAACGTGGAAAGATATTTTTCCTAATTCTAGGATGTACGAACTTGATATTCGAGTGCGTGAGCATGATCCAGCTTGGCCTCTCTTAGCCAGCCCTCCTGAAGCAAAAGCTGCGTTTAGATCCTTACCAAATGTCCCAAAAATACAAACTAAAGTGGAACCTGTAGTAGTCGATGTTAAGCAAGAAGCGAAGGAGGCTTCGCTGACAACTAAGACCGTTATCTCAGCTTCACGTGACCCGCGGCTCAATAGAAAACGAAAGTCACCTCAGGAACCCCTTTCTTCTTCTGATGAGTATCTTATCGACCGTTCAGGAGATCAGAACATGGAATCAGTTGCTCGTAAACAAGGTAAACAGGCAGATGCCAGTGAGTCGTCTAAGAAGGTCATGTTGTTTGGGGGTGAGGACTGTGATATGCGTTCACAAAATTCAGTACCCGCTTCTCCTGCTAGATCATCAGGTTGGTCAGATTACATTGGAAAGCACAGCGAAATTTGCTCTCGACGTGAAGCCAAAGACATAGATATGCGTTTTGCTCCGTCAGATCCTCCACTTGCCTGCTCTCCTAGCTTTGGTGTCTCTGAGAAGGTATCGAAAGCACCATTAGATGTACTAGTCACTAACAAACTAAATTCTGTACCAACGATTCCTCCTGCACCGAGGTACGATACGTCAGATGAACGCCTTCCACCGACTGAATTACAATCTGGGAAAATTTTTGGTAATTCCAATCCAGATACGAAATTACGCCCCGATGTTTTGAAATCTGAAAACATCCCACCCCGATACTCCAAAGTGGATAATTTTGTCCCAATGAAGGAACATCATCTGCCACCTCGCATTACCGATTTCGCCAGAGATAGACCACAGTTACCTTCATCTTTTCAGCCAACTACGGTCCCACCCATTCGTGGGCCACCAATTCGCGGTCCCGTGTGGAGTGTTGAGATCAATGGATTTCCAGACATGGTTAATATAGGTGTCGATCCTCGAATGCTAAGTCTTGTAACTCATCCCAAGCCACCGAGACGAATAACCATTGATGGTCAACAGTTTACACTATTATTAGATAGAGTTCAACCATTGATAGCAATAGGAGACCGCATACATGCTGTACGATTCCGTTGTGAGTTTGCCACTATTGTCATTGATGGTCGCTGTTTTAACATTCCTGGCACAGGTTTTACCAGGGTTTCTATTGGACCCAGATTCTATGTCGCATACCTAGGTGGTCCTGGTCATGAACTGGTTATCGACGGCCGTCCACACACTGTCCCTACAACGTCTCATCTAACCTTCATAAATGTTGGTCTTCATTCAGTAGGCGTAAAATTTGTTGGAAACGTGCCAAGAAATGTCAATGTCTTACCACCTATCCCTCCCCGTCTACTCAAATGGGCAGGTCAAGGTTTATTTGGTTCACCTAAGAACCTGTTTATGGCACCACTCAACCCGATTAAGGAGCTCGCACGTCTCGTTGAACACGGATACAATTCAAGAAATAATTTTGTAAACAGACCTGTAGGCAATGGAAAGCGACCATCACCTATGCGTCTTACAGAT